AAAGGCACTTTGCACAGATTTTCCTCACTTCACCCAGGTGGAAATGGGCACCCAGCTAGATCTATAGACAGTGAACGATCTTGTCAGTTTGATAGTGTTTGAGCACGTGAAATCCGCAGCTTGCACTGTATGCTTCCCCGGAAGCTGAGAATGTTTCTGAGTGTTCTTAGAGGGTCTGCTGGGGTAATGGTTGTAAAGCGCATAGAGCAAGCTCTTGAGCATGGATATGCGCTATATAAATACAATTATTATTTATTGTTATTAGGAAAAAGTTTGTTTGTATACTACACTCTAGTTCCCCCCTCTAATCTCCAGTGCGGATGGTTGGCGGGTGCTCTCGTGTTGTTTGCTTCTTTCCTGTCAAACATCTATCGTCCTTTATCTCCCCTCCTTCTTTTCTGTCTTTGTTACTCTGTTGTAACACCTCTAATCTTGGGTATTTATAGATCTTATTATGTTACAAGTGCCATAAAACTCTTACTTTTTTGTGTTGCAAGTGCTGTAAAACACTTAGTAAAAGTAAAACTAAAAGCCTATTGTTATTGTGGGTGGTTGGAGGGTGCTGTGATGATGGTCCGCAGGTGGTTGGAGGGCGCTACTGGCTGGTCCTTCTTTATTTTCCTCTCTTCTTCTCTGTCTGTCTTACTTTTTCCCCAGCACTAAATGAGCATTATTTTGTCCATGTGTTTCTCTCTTTACTCAAACAAACCCCTCTGCAGTGGGTGGTTGGCAGGTGCTCTGGTGTGGTTTGCTTCTTCTTTCCTATCAAACATCTAATATCCTTATCTCCCCCTTCTTCTTTTTTATGTTTGTTACTCTCTTGTAACACCTCTAATCTTCGGCACTTGTATGACCTTATTGTGTTGCAAGTGTCGTAAAACTCTTACTAAAACGAAAACCCCTCTCCTCCCCTCAGACACGTACACGCTGTCGGTGCGAGACTGCGACGAGCTGCGAGGCTACCTGGTCAAGCACTACCAGATCCTGACGCGCCGTCTGCCCGAGTCGGGCCGGGAGTGCTACTTCATCACCCGCTCGCGGGTCTTCCAGACGCTGGCCGACCTGGTCAAGCACTACCAAGGTAACACCTGATGACCGCTTGGTGCAGTCCTGTCATGTCGCTGCCCGTGAATTACAAAGTTCTATCTGCTCAGTACCTAGTTTTGAGAAATTTGACACAAAAATGTTTTCAGTTCACATGTCAAGCTTTTTCGAATGCAGTTCTTTGAATGTCTTAATGACTCCGAATAATCTGATGACTTTGATAGAACAGGTAGAACATTTGGTTTCTGACCTCATAACTCAAAACGGCCAAAGATATCAGATAGTACTTTGTAATTCTGAGGTAGGGAGCTGTCTAGATTTGAGAAATTGATCTCATCAGATTCAATGACATTCAGTCGGCGGGTGTTCTTGTGTGGTTTGCTCCTTCTTTCCTATCAAACGTCTATTGCCCTTATCTTTTCCCCTTTTTTCTCCTTGTATTTTACTTTTTAGTAACACTTTTTATCTTCGGCTCTTATGCAACCTATTTGTGTTGCAAGTGCCGTAAAACTTTTACTTAAACAATAATACAGTGAAACCTGCTCTAACGGCCACCAGTCCAAGACAATGGCCTGTACAGACGACCACTCCCCCCGCCCGCCTGTGGATTCATAACTTCATATTTGTTTGACTGGTGGTTTATTGTTATGTTTATTGAGTGGGAAATCTAACCACAATACTAACAACAATACTCCATTAACTGTTAGACAGAAATACAGGTGAGAGTCAACAAGCGTTCCAAACTGATACCTTCCCGACATTCAGTTTGTGACTATTCCCATTTTTCCCTTGGACTCGTCATATATTTGAGGCGTGCTGACAAAATGTCTTACTTCTCGCCTACCACAAATGGAGATATTGGCCAAAAATCGACTCTAGGGTCAAATTTGTCGATTTTCTGGTCATTCCATACTCGTAAACTTGAACCTGTCTTTTATTATTTCATTCTCATAATTTTAAAACCTTCACCTATAAATGTGATGTATCTATTTCCATAGAGCTCGTCTGTCCGAGAAATAAATCTTTTGATCAGCACACTTCACATATGACATATGATTATGACCTTGTCCAAGCTGTCCACCTAAGACAACCATTTTTCTCTTTGACAATGGGTCCTTATCTAGGACCGGTTTGGCTAACTACAAATTGTGCCAACAAGTTGTTTGTTTGTTTGTTTGTATCGAGTTCTGAACAAGGTTTGCCTTTTGTGCGTTTGTCGTCTATAGATGAGTTTTTGAAATGGCAAAAGCGGGGACATCATGGAAACAGCTAGAAAAGGATGCACAGGACAGGAATGTTGTTGAGGGCCTGTGCTCCACTGGGAGTTAAAAAGGGCAAGAGAGAAAGAGAAGAGATAGATGACTTTTGAAAAGTTGTGTGTTTGTGTGTGTTTGCACGGAGTCTGGGTACAACTTTGGACAAGTTGTTCATTTGTTTGCGCAGAGACTGTGGGTTGCCTGATGCGGTTTGCTTCTTCTTTCCTATCAGACATCTATCGTCTTTATTTCTCCTTCTCTTTTCGCGTTTGCTACTCTCTTGTAACACCTCTAAAGTTCTGCGCTTATATGGCCTTATACTAATTGTGTTGTAAATGCTGTGAAAACTCTTGCTAAAGAGGATTATGTGCAAGTTTGATAATTTATATGTTTGTGTGGTTGTACTTGTACTGAGTTTGTGTACCTGTTTTGACAACGATTGTTTGTTTGTCTGTATAGAATCTGTGCTCAAGTGTTGACCATTTGTGTGTTTGTTTGTATTATGTACAGATTCCGTGGACGGCCTGTGCTGCAAGCTGGCTTCCACGTGTGCCAAGCCGCGCTCGCTCATCTGGGCCATGGAGCGGGGCAAGGAGGACGAGTTCGTGACCACCCGCAGCACGCTCCACCTCACGCGACGGCTGGGCGGTGGACAGTTTGCCGAGGTCTGGCTGGGTGAGTGCCGGGTCTTTGTCTGTCTGTCTGTGTGTCTGTTCCCACCACAGATGTGTCCAGTGCCACTGCAGCCACCGTGACTCACCGTCACCACTCAAC